ACCACTGTGGAGGTGAGGAGAGCTGGGGTGGTGGGGAGGGGTGGGGAGAAAATGCAGAAAACTGTACTTGAACAACCATTAAAATGTTAAACCACAAAGATGTTACCTTTATTGATCTGGGGGCTTAGTTATCATGTTCAATTTGTAAATATTTAATGAGCTGTACATGTAGGATTCTTATACTTTTCTGTATGAATGATTTATCTAAAGTAGTTTACTAAGAAAATCTATAGAGGGTATTTATAATTCAGCTGTTACTTTCTTGTGGGGAAATATTAACTCTGTAGAATCTAATACCCACATCATCCTGAATGCTATGTTTGAAATCAAGAGCAGAGTAGTAGCATAGCTTTGAAGAAAAAAACTTAAAAATTAAAAAAAAGCATGGCAAGGGTGTGATATATTTCCTATGTTTTAAAGGCTCTTCAAGTGAAAAGTAAGGTATAAATGGATAAATGCAGTGATAATGCAGCATGTAGGATAACTCAAGTTTATTTATCAAATATATCACATTCTATCAAAAACTGCTAAGAAAATAAAATAGGCTACCTCTAATAAGATATTAGGACTTAATAATATATTTTCATTTGTAGTGCTTTAGTTACTTGAACTCTAGAAATTCTTTGGAAATTACCTTGTGTTGCATCCCAAATCCTTTCCTTTAGAATCTATTTGGTTTCTGAGTTCAGATACTAAAGAATACTGTGTTACCTAAATCAACGTGATTTCCAAGTTTTGGAGTAGGAAGGTTGAATAAGTGTTTATCAGAAACATTTTGCTCCTAAATTCAGATTGTGACAAATATTTTTCAATTGATTAATAGATTTATTTTTTAACATCACATTTTCATAACTGATTCTAGACATACAGTTGACTCTTAAACAAGGTTGGGATTAGGAGCCCTGACCCTACTTGCAGTCAGAAATCTGCATAGAACTCTTAACTTTCCCCAAACTTAAATAAAGTTGGCTCTTCACATTTGCAGATTCAAACAACTGTGGATCAAAAATCTGTTAGGGGACAAATGTAATAGAACAACGGACACACAGCAACACACACTAAAAAAATCTTTTAGAAATTCACAACAAACTGTTAGGAATTCATGGTTTGGAATGCAAAAATACTCTTTTCAACCCACACTTGGCTGAATCTTCAGATTTGAAAACTGTGGATACATAGCACTGACTGTATTTATTGGAAAAAACAAATCTGGGTATGAGTAAAAACCACACAGTTCAAAATCGTGTTGTTCAAAGGTCAACTATATTATCTTTTTTGTGTTCTAGAAAGTTTTAACATTAGAATTATGATAAATCCATAAAAGTAGATAACTTGCTAACTCACATCTTACTGTGTCCTGGAAGAATTCCTAAAACATTTCATAGATCTTACATATAAATATATCTAGTTTGATGCCTTCTTAAGTAGTTATGTGACATTTAAAGTATCTTGTGGTCTAATTTTATAATGCTCCTTTTGGAAAGAAGTATTAAGGTTTTATAATTGTCAATTTATTTTTTATTTTATATTCACTGCATATTGGTCATTTCTTCAATGCAGGCTAAGACCTGTTAGCTCAATACCCTGCTGGCACCAAACTGAAATTGTACACACTGGATAACTTTTTATATATATTTTATTGATTATGTTATTACAGTTTTCCCATTTTCTCTGTATTCCCCTCTGCCCTGCACACCCGATGAAACCCGCATACCCCCCACCCCCACACTTAGTTCATGTCCATGGGACATACATATAAGTTCTTTGGCTTCTCCATTTCCTCATGTTTCGGAAAATCACTCACGCAGAGAAATAATGAAGCACAAACTTTATTACGTGAGAGCTCAGAGAGGATTAAATTCCCCAAATTCTTTTTTTTTTTTTTGCAGTAGTTTTCATGTGAAATAACTCCTTTGAATTCCCCAAATTCTCTGAGCAAAAGAGGTTGGGCTGGAGTTTCCTTTATATACTAGTTACACAGGCAGAAAGGGAGGGGGAACCAGCCTCTGAAAGCAGGAGCGAAGGTCAGTTTTGGCCTTGAGATAACTGGCCGTTGACTTGGTAATGGCTCCTTACCTAAAAATAGCTTCTACTCAGCTTGCCCGGTCACATTAAAACAAAGGCACTGCTTATCAAAGAAGCTACAGAGCATAGAAGCTTTTTCATGGGAGTTTTCTTTTCCTGCCACACTCATACTATTCTTAACCTCCCCCTGTCTATTTTGTACCTGCCATTTATGCTTCTTATTCCCTGTACTTTCCCCCTCGTTCTCCCCCTTCCTCCTCACCCTCCCCATTGATAACCCACCATGTGATCTCCATTTCTCTGATTCTGTTTCTGTTCTAGTTGTTTGCTTAGTTTGTTTTTGTTTTTGATTTTATAGGTTTGGTTGTTGACAGTTGTGTTTGTTGTCATTTTACTGTTCATAGTTTTGATCTTTTTCTTAGATGAGTGCCTTTAACATTTGGGCTTGGTGATGATGAAGTGCTTTAATTGACCTTATCTGAGAAGCACTTTATCTGCCCTTCCATTCTAAATGCTACCTTTGCTGGATAGAGTAATCTTGGATGGAGGTCCTTGTCTTCATGACTTCAAATACTTTTTTCCAGCTCCTTGCCTCATAAGGTTTGAGAAATCAGCTGATAGTCTTATGGGAACTACTTTGTAGGTCATTGTATCCTTTTCTCTTGCTGCCTTAAATTCTCTCTTTATCTTTAATCTTGGGTAAAGTAATTATGATGTGCGTTGGTGTGTTCTTTTCTGAGTCCAACTTCTTTGAGACTCTCTGAGCTTCCTGGAAATTTATTTCCTTTGCCAGATTGGGGAATTTCTCCTTTATTTTTTTCAGATAAATTTTCAATTTCTTAGTCTTCCTCTTCTTCTTCTGGCACCCCTATGATTTGCATGTTGGAATGTTTAAAGTTGTCCTGGAGGTTCCTAAACCTCTCACTTTTTTTTGTTTCTTCATTCTGTTCTGGCTGAATGTTTATTTCTTCTTTCTGCTCCAAATCATTGATTTGAGTCTGTTTCCTTCCTGTCCCTGTGAGTTCCCTGTACATTTTTATTTCACTTTTCATAACTTTCATTTTTTCATCTATTTTGCGACCATAGTCAACCATTTCTGTGAGCATCCTTATTATCAGTATTTTGAACTGTGCATCTGATAGGTTGGCTATCTCTTCATTGCTTAATTGTATTTAGTTCTGGAGTTTTGATCTGTCTTCATTTCAGCCATTTTTTTTTTCATCTTGGCACACCTGTTATGTAGTAAGATGTGAAGCCTTAGGTATTTGCCAGGGCAGGGCAACCACCTTTGCTGCATTGTGGTGCTGTATGTAGGGGAAGGGTCTGAGAGGGAACAGTGTCACTTGCTCAGCTCTCAGCTCACCTTCAGTCACTAACTCTGCTACCCACAAGCAAATTGGGCCCTTCTGGTACTGATTCCCAGGTGGGTGGGTCTGGATGTGTTCTAGGACCCTGTGGGTCTCTCCAACGAACTCTCCTGTGAGGCTGGGAATTTCTCCCACTACCTCAACTGCCACGGTTTTTGTTGTCAGAGGTTTTGAGGCTTTATTTCCCTGTGTTGGAACCCTGGGTGCATGATCTGTCTCACTCCCATTTTTCCTCCCTGTTTACCTGCACATAAATATGGGACCACCTGGTCTGCTAGCTGTCACCTTGCTGCACATCCTTTCTGCCCCAGATGCCCATCTCCACCCCTCCTACTGGTGTGGATAAATGTTTCTTTAACTCCTTGGTTGTCAGACTTCCATACAGTTTGATTTTCTAGCAGCTCTGGTTGTTTTTTTTTGTTTTTAAATTTGTTGTTGTCCTTCTTTTGGTTCTGTGAGAAGGTACAATGTGTCTACTTATGCCTCCATCTTGGTCAGAAATATACAAGTGTCAACTTAAATTCTTTATAAAAATCACAGGCTTTGTCCAGATTGAAGATATATTATAAAAATGTCTATATTAACTTTTAAGATTTTTAATTGAGATAAAATTCATGTATCATTATATTCACACTTTTAAAGTATAATGTTAAGCAGTTTTTAGTATGTTCACTGTTATATGCAACCCACACCACTAATCCCAGAACATTTTCATCATAGAAAAAGATACAGTCCTTTTAAATTTAAATAGGCTGTCATTTCAACTTCTCATTTGGTGTTGTCATTCTTCCTCACATGAACCGTAAGTTTGTCCTTTTTTTAAGTCATAATAAAATTTTCTATTTTAGTTTTCTTCTTTCAGTTATTTCTGCATTTTATAACTAATAATGCCTTTTGCTATACATTTTTAATTTTTTGCTTGTTTTGGCTCCTTGGATTCTATGTTAATTTTATTTATTAATGACCTTGCTAGTATTTTAATATATATATGCATATTGGTTATGCATTGGTTGGAAGTTATAAAACTTCCAATATAACTTTGCCACTCCCAGGTTTTTCAGTTGTGTTCTCATTTTTATTCACATTTAACTAATGTGTGTATTAAAATTTTAGTTCCTTAATCCATGTTGATCAAAGGGGACACTGAATTAATATATGAACATTTGATAGCTATTCAACTGTCACTCTGGTCAAATAATTTGGCCTGTATATTTTTTGCTTTGGGGGGGTACTAATTATTAGAAAAAAATTTCTCATCTCTTCTTACTTTTTTAATATCTCTGTTTTCAACTACCCATCATTATATCCACAAGGCTTCAGACTGGTATTCATCTTTGTGCAGCATGAAAGATAAAGTCTGAATGAAGACTACCGATACATACTTTCTCCTGTCCTTTTAAAATTCCATGCTCAATAATGAGTGATAAGAAGAACTTCCATATATGCAATACATTCCTCTTTTTTTCATTACAAATTCTTTGATTTATACAGAGGTAAACAATATGGTTAAAATACTTCCCCAAAATAAGAAATATAATTTTGAAAATTAGTATATCAATGATAACAATGGACAATTTTTACTAAGGATTTACTAAGTCAGACAAATAGTTCTAATACTTTAAATTTATTCATTCATTGAATCCTTACAACAACCAATGCAGAACATAATTATGTTTACTATATATGAAATAAAACATATGAAACAAAATGCCACTCACATCTATCAATAAAAAGTAACACACATCTGAAAGGATAAATGACACTTTGATAATAGTGGTTAATTACCTTTATAGTATAACATTGGGATAATTAAAATACATGTTTTAAAATTAAAAAAAAACAAGCATACAAAGATAAATTTTGGGTCATACTAATTATGGCAGATTTTAAAGGCAACATGAATGATAAAGTAAATTTAAAAAGCAATTATATATGTCATTAAGAATAATAATAATTCACATTTACTGAAATGGCAATCATATTTTTGGGCATGATAAAAGCGAGTGAAGGTACGACATGCTTATCACAACTACACTTTCTTTAAAGACAGTCTGGTAGGATGTGTTCTACCACTTGAGAGTAGTCATCTATGGTTAGTATCATTATGATCAATACTGGCTTTTTAGTTTCTTGTCTTCTGTTTTATAACATAAATTTGTGAAACAAAAAGATTAACACTGACTTCAAAAACAAAGTTAAATTTCCACAAGGAATTAAACCATACAAGGTCACACAATGTAAACAGTGTGATATTGGTGTAAGCACAAATATGTAGATCAGAAAAAGTAGCCCTGAAGTACAAGCAAAGAAGAATATAATGTTAACTCCCAGAAGGTAGAACAAATTAATGGGAAAGAAAAAACTATTAAAATTATTGAACATCTGCAATTAGTACAATGTTGGGGGGTAAATGGCAATTTGAAATTTGAATTCATAACATAGAGTGAAATATGTTTGGATTAAAAATGTACATATATAATAAGAAACAAAAATAGTGAAAAAAGGTAACTCTCAAACATCATTTTTTGTTTAAAATATTTAAGTTTAAATTAAACAAGTTTTAACTTTTATTACTCATCAGTATGAATTCCCTGATGACGAATGAGATCTGATCCACTACTAAATGCTTTCCCACATTCCCTACAGTTATAGGGCTTTTCCCCGGTATGAATTCTCAGATGTCGAGTGAGGTTTGAGCATTTATTAAAGGCCTTTCCACATTCATTACACTCATATGGTTTTTCATCTGTATGAATTCTCTGATGTTGAAAAAGTTGTGAGTTCTGAGTGAAGGCTTTCCCACATTCAAAACATTCAAAGGGTTTCTCACCAGCATGAATTCTCTGATGTTGCCGAAGTTGTGAACTCTGAGTAAAAGCTTTGCCACATTCCTTACAATCATAGGGTTTCTCTCCAGTATGAATTCTCTGATGATTAGTAAGTGCTGATCCGCTACTGAAGGCTTTGCCACATTCCTTGCACTCATAGGGTTTCTCACCAGTATGAATTCTCTGATGCTGAACAAGCTTTGAGCTCTGAGTAAAAGCTTTGCCACATTCCTTACATTCATAGGGTTTCTCACCTGTATGAATTCTTGCATGCTGAAAAAGTTGTGAGCTCTTAGTAAAGGCTTTCCCACATACTTTACATTCGTAGGGTTTTTCACCAGTGTGAATTCTCTGATGGTCAATAAGATTTGAGCAATAACTAAAGGCCTTCCCACATTCCTTACATTCATAGGGTTTCTTACCAGTATGAATTCTTTGATGTTGAGAAAGATATGAACTACAACTGAAGGCCTTTCCACATTCATTACATTCAAAGGGTTTTTCACCAGTATGAATTTTCAGATGTCGAGTAACATGTGAGCCACAACTAAAGAACTTCCCACACTCCTTACATTCATAAGATTTTTCACCATTATGAATTCTCTGATGTTGAATAAATTGTGAATTCAGACTAAAGACTTTTCCACATTTCTTACATTCATAGGGTTTCTCTTCATTATTAATTATTTGATGTAGAGTGAAGAATGTCTGATGAATAAATGTGGGCATGTATTCATGAGTAAATATTTCTTGATTGAAATGTCCATTTTGATATCCCAGTTGTCTTTCAAGATGACTTCCATATTCCAAAACATCTCTATAATTGGAGTACTCAAAGCCATACTTTGTAAGTCCCATTGTTTCCCTCTGGCATGATTCTATTTCATAAACTTCCTTCTTTAGAGATAATAACTTGGTTTCACACATTGACTCCAGATCTGAAAGAAAATAAATGGTAAATATTCTTTCCACCCATCTGTGAAAAGTTAAACTTTTATAATAGAAATGAAAAAAAGTATGTGGTAGTAAATGACACACAGTTCTCAAGTATATCTGTTTAATCTGAAAAATGGACAAAAAGTGTATAGAAATGAGATACAGTCATGTACCCTATAATGACATTTCAGTCAGCTATGGACTGCAAATGCAATGGTGGTCTCATAGTATACAATGGAACTGAAAAATCCTTATTGCCTAACAACATCCTAGCTGTTCTAAGGTTGTAGTGCAGCATATTACTTATGTGTTTGTGCTGAAGCTGGTGTAAACAAACCTACTACACTGCCAGCTGCATAAAAGTATAGCACACACAATTATAGTAGTAAGCTATGCCATGTAGGTTTGTGTAGGTACACCCTATGATGTTCATACAGCAATGAAATCCCCTAGCATTGCCTTTCTCAGAACATATCCCTGTTGCTAAGTGGTGCATGACTGTATAATACAGAAAGCAGAAGGAAGAGACTATAGAAGTAGAAAACCACAATTATTCTCAAATACTGATATGATATGGATCAGAATCATCAGGAAAGTTTGGTAAATGAGCATATGAAAAAAATGACTAGGTCTACATATATCTATATAAGCATGCATGTTTGTGTATATAAGAAACAGAATGTAAGATCATACTATACATTTATGTATTACATGAAATGGATAATTTCCTGACCTCCATTAAAGGCCTCCTGGGAGGAATAAATCTATATAGGGGAAGATTCTTGGGCTCTTGATATGATAAAAAATAAATTTGGTCTTTGACTCTGGTTCCTAACACAGAACTTCAAAAACTCTTAGAATTGCCTGAGTGATAGGAATGTTTTTATTATGAAAATGAGGTCACACATAGTGAGTCCTTAGATAGACACTGATCACCCCAAAGACCAAACATGTAATTAGAGGTTTGGGACTTTCAGCTACTTGACCTCTGGAGACACAAGAGGGATCAGAAATTAAGTGGCCAATGATATCAATATAATTAAATCACACTGAAATCTCTAGACACTAAAGCTCAGTGCATCTTTCTAGCTGGCAAAAATACTGAAATGCTAAAAGGATGATACACTTTGACTCAACAGGGAGAAGGTGTTGAATCTCTGCACCTGGAAGCCTACCAGACCTTAGCTTAACAGGAATCCTTTACAGTAAGACTACAATTATAAGCATAAAGTTTTCCTGAGTTCGGAGTCACTCTAGCAAATCAATGAACCTGCAGGGAAGGGTCATGGAAATCCCCAGCTTTATTGTCAGTTGATCAGAAGTGTGGGAGGTCTATAGACTCCATGATATTTGCAGCTAGCATCTGAAGTAAGGGCAGTATTATGTAGGATTCTGCTGTTAACCTGTGGGGTCTATGCTAACTCTGGGTAGTTAGTGTCAGAATTAAACTGCAGCAGACTCAGTTGGGGAAGAAACAGAATAGGCTCCATAATAAAGAGTATATTGAATGAAATGTGAGAGACATCACAGAGTGTAAGCCACATGGGATCCAAGGTACTGGGCTACCCTGATGGGAGTGGCAGACAGAGAAGACAGAATATGTTATGTGTTGGCAATTAAGGGACAATATTGTTTGCTTTGGAATTTTGTGATGCTTATCTTAGGAGTCTCTTGCTCATGTACCACTGCAGTGACTGAAAAGAGTGCGAGCTAACGTTTAAGGCAGACAGAAAGAAAGAAAGTACAAAATACGGTGATGGAAAGATGACAGCAATCAGAAGCAGACTGATCAGCTGAGTCCCAACTCTGATGTGTACTCATTATGTGTTCCTAGGCAATTACTTAACCTTTCTAAACTCCCATTTCTTTATCTGTAAAAGGGAGATAATCATTAACTCATGAGTACTGGAAAGGAGAGGAGAAATATTTGTAATTATCTTTGAATAAAATGTTTAGTATTTGACAGGTATTATTACAAAAGAATTTCTTACCAAAAATAAAAATTTTAAGCTAACTAAATGGTTTGAAAAGATCAAAATGGAGTCTATTAGAACATCTCTAGCAAAACACAGAGAATTCATTCCAGCATAATCTTTTATTCTCCTAACTCTGTATGATTTGTAAACAACTTTAATCTAGTTAAGCTCCTAGGTAACTTTTAAAACTATCCTCTTCTATTTGTACTGCCAATGCCCTCGTTCGTCTTATGCAGACCACTATAATAGCCTCCTAACCCAGTCTCCCTGCCAAGTTTCACAGTCTTTATTCTATTAAGGGGCCAAAACTTGGCTTGGCCTTCTACTACACAAAGTCCAAACTCCTCACAATGAGGGGCAAAGGTTGAGTAATGTGGATCCTATCTGTCACTCCAACTTCAACTCACATTCCACTCTCACTTGCTCATGGGGCCCAGCAACACTGGCTTTCTTTCAGTTCTTCAAACACAACAAGCTTTCCCCTCCTAGAAAGGCCTTCACAGGGGTTCTCCCCTCTCCCTGGAGTTTTCTTCTTATTAAGGTATTAAATAGTAAGACCTGCAGTGAGCCCAGTACTACAGTAGTTATGAAATAGTGATGACCATAAATAAATACAATATGTTGATTTCCATTCATGTCAAAGTCACAGAACTAATATTATGATTTGCTGCATACATCATAATTGAAAGAAATGCTATATTTCACTTAAAGGTTAGTAAATATAATGATGCATTTTATTTCTTTTCATACTAATTCATGGACTCCCTGAATTCTGTACAAAGGAATCCCCAAATAGCAACCTCTGAGTTAGAGTGATCCTTTAAAAATATGTCACTCCTCTGCTTATACCATCTCATTCTGAATAAAATAGCTTTATACCTGCCTCATTCATAACAGAATTCAAAGCCCATATCTAGGTTCACAAAACCCCAATATTGGCAGGTACACCCTCCCTCCTACCTTCATCTAGCACATCCTGCTACTTTGCTGATCCCCTTTCACACAATTCCCTCTTTGCTTATTCTGCTCCAGCTACAACAGCATGAACCCAAATGCCAGCAGCTCTGAGGACTGTTACTTGCAGGAGATGAGCAGTGCAGATACACACATGCATGTGTGCACCCACACACAAATCTTATTCTGGGTGTGGTAACAGAAAATATTTAGATGAATTTAAGAGGAAGAAAAGCTAGCAAGGAACTGAATCTTAAATATAGGTAAAAGTTTTCTTTGGAGGGGAAGTGAACAGCACCTTCTACTTGAAATTAAGTGGTGTGCTGGAGAAGAGTAATAGAATAGTAAGTGAGGGAAGGAATGGAAACAGGTCATTTGTAGACTCATGCTAAAAGAACTTAAGTTTTTTTCCACAGGCCTAGTGTTTTGATGGAAGCTTCCAAGATAACACCTCAAAGATACTGTTTTTTTCACTGGTCAACAGAGTTATTACCTATAATGCCCTGCTTTGTTCAATCCTTTCCCACTCACCTGAACACAGACCTCTTGTCAGCTCTCTGCCAACCATCCAGGGCTCCTTCCCTTGTTCCAATAAGGAGATAACTTGAGGCTTAGGTATGTAAAGTCCTGCTCACAAGAAGAGATATGAAACAAGATTATGCTGTGCATAAATTGAATCCATAAATAAGACCCAGTCCCTTGATAACCAAAAAATAGATGCCACTACAGTAACAGTCAAAGAAAGAAGATGAAGCTTTGGCCATAACCAAATGGAGCTTCTCATTTTCCACTCTTCCTTTTCATTTTATCTCCAAACATTTATTTGGGAATAGGGAGCAGAAATTCAGCTGGTAATTTAAAAAGCAGCTGAAAAATTCACTGTGGAAGAAAGAGACATTCCAGAGGAGAACCCTAAATTACTGATATAGATGACCTTACCCATTGACAGCAGATTGCTGTAGTTCTCCAGCATCACATCTCTGTACAAGTCCCTCTGAGTTGGGTCCAAACATTCCCACTCCTCCTGAGAGAAATCTACTGCCACATCCCTGAACATCACTGATTCCTGAAATAATAAACATAAGTATACTTGTGTAATAAAAGAAATACTTCAGACTACTCTATTGTACTTGTATTGTGGGATAAAGCAAATAAGCAAGTATACTGGTGTCACTGAGAATAAGAATCTTTGGATTTCTGACACAGAAGCAACTAATCAGTTTATTTTACATTAACCACATCAGCCCTGGCAGGTGTGACTCTGTGGATTGAGGACTGGCCTGAGAACCGAAGGGTTGCCAGTTTGATTCCCAGTCTCAGGCACATGTCTGTGTTGTAGGCTGGGTCCCCAGGATGGGGGACCTTCCCCTCTCTCTAAAAATGAACAAATAGAATCTTTAAAAAATAATAATATTTGAATAACTGCTGAGAACCACCCTGCCTGGTTTCAGAAGCTGTAACTCCCCATGGCTAAGGCTGAGTAAAAAGGCCGTAGGACCATAAGCCACCAAAAGACAAAACTTGTACCCCTGGCAGGGGCACAGCCTCTGCTCCCCTTTTCACCCTGCTTGGCCCCTGGAGGATGGCTAGATAGTCAATGATGGGTAAGACTCCTCAAGGAAGGAACAACCTAAGACAGGCACAATCGCAAAGGAGCCATCAGGGAAGGACTTAGGAGATTATAGAAAAGGGGTGATGGATCTTCACACCTTGGCTTTGTTATAGCCTGAATCCTCATTCTATCTGTAAAAAGTCTCCTAATCCCTTGGCTGCCTGCATTCCCCACCTGATTCAGGCTTGAATCAATGCTGGAGGGTAGTGCAGCCCTGTGCAGGAACAGGTGGTTCCTGGGGATGATCAAGCCTGAGAAAGAATGCATAAAGTCCTGTGCAACCTGCTTTGCTAAAAATACCCTCAATTTAAATGTTAAGGTTCTCAGCATAAAATGAGTTTGTCTCCCAAAGTTTTATTGCCCTTTGGCGTCATTCTACCTATCTGACCCTGACTCAGAACAAGCCCTCAGAGTTCTTTGAATGTTATCCATTGTTTGATCATTATGCCTGACAATGATTGCTGAGCTTTACATATATGCCCTGTATTCCTATGCAAACTAAACCCAATAAAAGCCCATTGAGAAAGAGGCTCAAGGCCCTTCTCCTCTGAGACTGGTCAGCCTTTCCTCCCCAAGCAGATTATGTCTTGGTAGACTTATTCTCATCCATGGTCACCAGGGGAGCTCTGCTGGACAAAGCTCCCCTACAAATAACTATGTATGGTGTCAGATGGTCACAAGATTTACTGAGACGATCACTTTATCTTCTGGAAGGCAGGCCCCTTGTAGTCTAGGTTTTCTCAGCTAGGTAAATGTCGCAGGAACACATCTGTATCAGTGCACCAGCTGGCATCATTGTGAGAAGCTGTGTTTGGCTTCAGTAAATTTTTTTTTGAAGATTCTTTCAATGCATTTGTCCATTTCATGATGAGTGATTTACAAGTGCACCTGCATTCATCTGTATTTGACCAAAACGACATGACACCCACACCCCACCTTCCCTATTCACTCAAGTGACTTGGTTGTTTTTGTTGTTGTTGTTTATTTGTTTCTCCAGATGATAAAAGCCCTCAAAGGGAAATGTTTTCCTGGTGTGGATGAGGTGAAACAAAAAAATGGCAGAAGCACTAAAAGGTATCAAAATTGACAAGTTCAAAAACTATTTTGAGCAGAAGAAAAAAAGTCTTGATGGATTCATTGCATCAAATGGAGAGAACTTCAAAGGTGACTGAAGTTTAAACATGAATAAATACACATTTTTTAAATAAATAAATTACATGTTTTTTGGGTCCCTCTTCATATATAATGTCTAATCACTGGGGTGTACACCTGAAACTAATATAATATTACATATCTACTTTAATTGAAAAATAAAGAAAATAATTTAAATAAAAAATAGAACAATAATAAATTTTTTAAAATAAACAATTTTCAGACTAGGTCCATCGTAAACAGTAAGGCAATACTTCAAAAAACTAAAAACATATACAGTGTGACCCAGAAATTCCACTTTAGGTATTTATCCAAAGAAAACATAAACACTAATCGGAAAAGATGTATGTGCCCCCATATTTACTGCAGCATTACTTACAATAGCCAAGTATGTAAACAACCTCCACCAATAGATAAATGGGTAAAGAAGATGTGTATACATACACACAAAATGGAATATTATACAGCACTAAAACAAAAAATCTTGCCATTTGCAACAACATAGATGGATCTAGAGATTACTATACTAAGTGAAATAAGTCAGGCAAAGAAAGGCAGATACAAGTTTCACTTATATGTGTAATCTAACAACAAACACACAAACAAAGCAAAAACAGAATCACAGAAACAGAGACCAAAGGATGGCAGCCAGAAGAGAGGAGGCAGGGAAAGGGTGAAAAGTATAAGAGGAACATAGTCAATAATATTGTGATAAGTTTACATGGTGACAGATAATTACTAGAATTAGTGGGGTGATCAAATGGAAAGGGGGGCCTTCCAGCCAAGATAGAGGTGTCAGTAGATATACTGTACCTCCTTGCACAACCAAAAGAAGGGCAACAACAAATTTCAAAACAAAAACCAACCAGAACTGACAGAAAATTGAATTGTAGGGAAGTCTGACAACCAAGGAGATAAAGAAACATTCATCTAGGCCAGTAGGAGGGGTGCAGATGGGCAGCTTGGTGGAGAGGACTTGTGGCAAGGCAGTGGCTGGAGGACCTGGGTGGGCAAGACAGCAGCTGGCAGACAGGGCAGTCCCACATTTGTGTGCAGATAAACTGGGAGGAAAAAGTGGGGAGCAAGAGAGACCATGCAAACCGGGGTTCCAGAGTGGGCAAATAAAGCCTCAAAATTTCTGATGAAAAAACCTGTGGGGGTTGAGACAGCAGGAGAAACTGCCAGCCTTATGTAAGAGTTCATTGGAGAGACCCACAGGGTCCTAGAACATACACAAACTCACCCACTAGGGAATCAGAAACAGAAGGGCCCAATTTGCTTTTGGGTAGGGGCAGAAGTGACTGAAAGCCTGCAGAGAGCTGAATAAGAGGCATTGTTCCCCCTCGGACCCTTCCCCCACATATAGCACCACAATGCAGCAAAGATGGTTACCCAGCCCTGGCTAAATCTAAGGCTCCACATGTTACTATGCACAGGTAACTGAGACAGAAAAAAATAGCCCAAATAAAAGAACAGGCCAAAGCTCCAGAAAAATACCACTAATCAACAAAGACATAACCAACCTATCAGATGCAAAGTTGAAAACACTGGTAATCAGGATGCTCACAGAATTGGTTGAGTATGGTTGTAAAATGGACAAAAAAGTGAGGGCTATGAAAAGTGAAATGAAGGAAAATATACAGGGAACCAACAGTGGAGGGAAGGAAATGGGGACTCAAATCAGCAGTTTGGATCAGAACGAAGAAATAAACATTCAGCCAGAACAGAATGAAGAAACAAGAATTCGAAAAAATGAAGAGAAGCTTAGGAACCTCCAGAACAACTTAAAATGTTCTAACATCCAAATCATAGGGGTACCAGAAGGAAAAGAGGAAGAGCAAGAAATTGAAAACTTATTTGAACAAATAATGAAGGAGAACTTCCCCAGTCTGGCAAAGGAAATAAATTTCCAGAAAGTCTAGGAAGCTCAGAGAGTCCCAAAGAAGTTGGACCCAAGGAAGTGTACACCAAGGCACATCATAATTATATTACCCAAGATGAAAGAGGAGAGAATCTTAAAAGCAGCAAGAGAAAAGGAGACAGTTACCTACAAAGGAATTCCCATCAGGCTATCTGCTGATTTCTCAAAAGAAAGCTTGCAGGCAAGAAGGGGCTGGAAAGAAATATTCAAAGTCATGAAAGGCAAGGACCTACATCCAAGATTACTGTATCCAGAAACACTAGCATTTAGAATTGAAGGGCAGATCAAATCAGTGCTTCCCAGATAAGGTCAAGTTAAAGCAGTTCTTCATCACCAAAACCTTATTATATGAAATGTTACACGGACTTATCTATGGAAAAGAAGATAAAAAATATGAATAGTAAAATGACAACAAATTCACAACTATCAACCACCAAACCTAAAAACAAAAACAAAAACAAAAACAAAAATGAACTAAGCAAACGACTAGAACAGGATCACAGAAATGGAGATCACATGGAGGGTTATCAGCGGGGAGAGGGAAGGGGAAGAGCGAGAATGGGGGAAAAGGTACAGGGAATAAGTAGCTAAATGGAAGGTAGAGAGGAAAGTTAAGACTAGCATAAGAAATGGAGAAGCCAAAGAACTTGTATGTACGACCCATGGACGGGAGCGGCATAAACAGTGGAGGGGAATAAAGGGGGAAAATGGGACAACTGTAATAACATAATCAATAAAATATATTTAAAAAAATGGAAAGGTATAATAATGCTGAATCACTATATTTAACACATGAAACTAATATAACCAATGGATTATATACCAACCATACTTAAATTTTTGAAAAGGTCTAGACAGTAGCAATGAGCATTGCTAGTATCTAGATTGTAGTCTCTAAGTACCATATTTAATTAAAAGGAACCAATGTTCTTTGGGAAAAGAGATGATTTCAGGATTGATTCAGAAATTAGAAGAAGAGTTTGAATATTCTGTTATATCAGAAAGCAAGAGAGATATCAAAAGCAATTAGAATCAGGTTAAAAGGACTCATGACTCAACCACTGGCCTCCCACTGGCCAAAAATAGTATAATTTGGAGATCAAATGTAATGGACTGATCAGATAAAAAATGTTTATATCCATGATACTGAATACTGATATCCATGATCACCAATACTGAATAAAAAAACTACTGGTCACTTTTGCAAGATTTCAAGAAACCATTTCACTGTAAAAACTGATTCAATATAAAAGGAAAGCCAGTTATAATGTGTCTCCTAATGGAATCACACATCACCACCTATGAGATATTCTTCACAAAAAAATTTCAGCTGAATCTGATGAAGCTTCAAAACCTAACTACCAATTTTCAGAAAACATTT